TTCCCCACTCCCACGCCAGTGAGACGAGTAGCGACCGTCCCCACCCGCCAGCAGCACCGAGCGTGGCTCTGGTCCCAGGGCTCCTCCCCTTTCCTCCCAGCACCTCCTATGGGCAGAGGCTGGAGGAGCTGAAAGCTTCCTTCTACCGGTGCCTCCCACTGTTGTTTGATTTTGCACCGATTCCTTTTCCCTCTGCGAGCCCCCAGCCAAAGGGCCTGGATGCCAGCGCCTCGGCCCATAGGCGCCTGTCCGGCACCTTCTCAGTCTGAAAACTGTCACCTCCCTCCCCCTAGCACGAGGCCCGATGCCCGTAAAGAGGAGATTGTAGTTGAAGTTAAGTCAGATAAACTTCCCGAAGAGGCGGGGCTTCTGCAGGGCGCCAACGGCGAGAAGAGACCTGCCGGTGACCAGGTAGGACAGCGCTCCACGCAACTACCTTCCGGGGGCTGGGCTGTCCCTTCGCAGCCTCTGGCCAGCAGCGATGCTTGAGCACGGGGGTGGCTGCAGAGTCTCTGGAGCTAGGAGAGCAGCTCTGGCAACAGCTGTTCCCAGCCCCCCTGGTCTCGCATGGGCCTTCATCATCCATCAGCAGCAAATAAGGGAAGCGGGGGGAGGGCTCATGGCTCCAGCCTGTGTTTCCCGTCAGCACTACACTGAGATGCAGATGTGCTGCTGCATGCAAATGGGAAGAGGCGAACCTGAAACCTTTTCCTTCCGCCATCAGCTTTTCTTTGCACATTCTCCACTCACTCATGAACATGGGCACTCCCCCCAGTACCCAGGAGCACAGATACAGGCCCGGTGGTTTCCCTGTCCCCTCATCCTTTGCTGGCATCGTGGCCCAATGCCAACAGATGGGGGTGTTACAGCACTAGAGGCTCTCGGACCTCGGCACCGCCCACGTTAGGGACCTTTCCGCTAGGCCAGGACAAAGGTTCCTAAGCCATGCGACTGCAAGGAGGAAAAGGTAGCAGCTCTAACCACTGGTCTTTGCTGCTGGGGGACAGTTGTAAGTAATTAAAAATGCAACTGTTCCCTCCCAGCTGATAGAGGATTATTCCTGGCCCCTGCTCCAAGGGTCACTTGCCTGGGAAACCATTGTACTGGGCTGGTTCTGAGCAGATGGTCCTTGCACATGTAGAGGGTGGGGAGGGAAAACCTGTCCTCTGATCTCCTCTGACTGCTCCTTTCTTATCTGTGGCTTCAAGGCAGAGAAATACATCGATCTGAGGAATTAGAGTGAGGGACCTGCCGTCTGGGTTTTTTCGTCTTCAAACCTTTCCTGTTCCTGGACCGCCGCCTCCCGACCCTGTTCCAGTGCCGTGGGAGCGTGGCTGGAGACCTTGAAATGCATCACAGTGCTGAGACTACTCTGCAGGGAGGAATACCTCCCCCCCCGGTCCCCCCACATGGCCGTAACACTAGCCAAGGGTCTGCAGGATGGCACAACGACAACAGCAAATCTGGACGAGCTGGCTGCTTCAGAGAGGCCAAAACGAATTCCTGAAAGCATTCACATTTCTCGGATGGGTGGAAAGATGGAAGGCCTTATCAGGAATGTTACTCTTAGCTTCTTGTTCCAGTTGGGTGGGCGGGGGGAGGAGGAAAGGTTTACAACTCTTTTACCTAAAATTCACAGCAGATTAAAATTCCCCTCTTGAAAATAGGTTAGAGCAGTAGGGCAGTCTGGGGTTGTCAGGGCAAGAATTGTGCTTTAAATTGGAGCTCTAACTAAAAAAAACCCAACCCCACAAGCTGTGTTCGATTAGCAGCATCTAGTTCTGTCTCTGAACAGTGGGGCTGCGTCTAGACTGGCATGATTTTCCGGAAATCCTTTTAACGGAAAAGTTTTCCGTTAAAGCATTTTTGGAAAAGCGCGTCTAGATTGGCAGGACGCTTTTCCGGAAAAAGCACTTTTTCTGGAAAAGTGTCCGTGGCCAATCTAGACATAGTTTTCCGCAAAAAAGCCCCGATCATCATTTTTGCGATCGGGGCTTTTTTTACGGAAAACAGTACTGTGCTGTCTACACTGGCCCTTTTCCGGAACAGTTTTCCGGAAAAAGACTTTTGCCCGAACGGGAGCAGCATAGTTTTTCTGAAAAAGCACTGATGATTTTACATTAGATCATCAGTGCTTTTCCAGAAATTCAAGCGGTCAGTGTAGACAGCTGGCAAGTTTTTCCAGAAAAGCGGCTGATTTTCCGGAATAACTTGCCAGTGTAGACACAGCCTGGGTGCACAGTATGAATTGCAGATAGGGGGTCAAATTCACCCAGTGGGTTCGAGGATGCCAAACAGTTCTTAGCTTTTCCCTTCACTGTTCTTGTTTTGCCGGTTTAGATTCACAGTCTCATCTTGCCCTGGTGAAATGCAGGTAGATTGCTCCATTCTTTGAAGAGTTGGTTTTGTTTTCCCCACATGACTCTATTGAGAACAGGTAACTAAAGGAAAGGCACTCTGTTCTATGTGCAGTAAAAACCAGGGCTTCCTAGTTGTGAGGTTTCGGCAGGGACTGGACCAACAGTAAGTTAATATAAGCTAAATGTGGAATTGCGTAGCTGAGGGCTTAGGCCTTGTTTCATAGCTGCCCCCTCCTTGAGGAATGTGGCTACTCTGGGCAGATTTCTAATTAAGCTCTACAGTTGCGGCTACAAGTAAGCCCTTCCACCTGACTCATGCCTGACGTGGAGATGGATAAAGAGAAGCTACCTACCATGCTGGCATTTCTCTAGAGTTTTTTGAGGGGGTTTTAAAGCATTATAAACCAGTGTTCCCACTAATGTTTTTGCTTCATGTGTGGAATCAATTTTTATCTGCATTGAAATGTGCAGATGTGCACCACCAGTAGAAATACAGGCTGCTGGCTGTGGGCGCTCTGCAAATCAGCTGGGTGGCATTTGAATTTCTACTGGGTGGCCACCTAAGAGCTCAAGGCACATTGATTAGGACTAGGTAAAATGTTCCATATCGTTAGCTAAAATCCTATTCTCTGGTGTAGGCTGGGGTGACAGGGATGTTAAATATCGGTTAATTGAATAGTCGATTAACCTCATGGCTTCTTATCAGTTACTCGACTACTCCCTAGTCCCCGAGGGTAGGGCCGGCAGCCAGTGCGCTCTGGCCTCTCTCCCGAAGAGGCCCCTGCCACCCTGCACTGCTGCCTCTTTATCAGAGGCAGCAGCATGGGGTGCCAGGGAAGAGCTGGTCAGTGAGGGGAGCCAGTTTGAAAAACAGCTTCCCTTGCGGACCGGCTGCCTGGGACCCTCTTCTGCTGCCCCGGATAACGGGGC